CTGGTTACAAGCTAGCTGTAAGTTATCTCCTGAGATAAGCTTTAAGACAGAGCTGAGCATTAGCAGAACAGGAGCTGTTTGCCTAGGAGAGGCCATCCAGGGCCAAGGTGGCAGGCAGAAGCCCCCTGTATAACTGATATTTTTCATATGAAATGATGTATGGGAAGATTGGAGTGGTGGGGAAAATATTGCATGTGATAGGCTCCTTGGGAAAGGTGTGCACATGGATAAAAGCACTTGGGCAGGCTAGGGAGAGGTGTGAGAAGAGAATGATGTGCAGCCTTCCTGAGCTAGTGTGCTTCCCATTGAGTTTAAAGGCTGCAGAACCATCACCTGTTGGTGAAAATGCTTTGAATTAGAAGGGCAATATCAAGAGGAAGATGTGTGGTTCATTTTATTAGGGCTGCCTCTAAACCAGAGGGAGAAGTTGTTTTGAAATGTGTTTATAACAACTTGTTTTTGAGGTGTTTCATCGCCTAGATGCAATCTAAGTCATTCCTTGTAAGGTCAATGTAAATTGCTCCAGGGGTTTTCTACTCTTGTTGCATCTTCTACTTTCATTGCTTGCTAGTAAGGACAGAGTACATCTAATGAAGGATCATGACAAGGACTTCACTAGAACACCAGACACCAGCTACAAAAATGCCTGGTATCAGCTCTTTTTGCTAGAGAAGGTGTTTGCTCTTTAGATATCTTTCTCATTGCTGCAATAGAATAGAGCAAATTTCTTTTCAAAATTAAGCAGTGTTTTAAAAACAAATGTACTGGCAACTGGCTTGCAGTGCTGTTGCTTCCTGATGCCAGGAAAAAAAATCTTTCTGGACTAACACAGTTACAATGTATGCTTTCTTAATTAAGGCTCACTGACCTTCTGCTGAAAGCATAGCTCAAATAGGAAAAAACAAACTTTGGGTCATTATGCTTATCTCAAGTTGAATACTATTCCTTAATTCTGATTAAATCAAAAGTCCTTGAACTACCTATTGAACTTCTAATGACAATATAAATTTACAGTATAAAAGCCGTATATTCAAAATAAGAGTCTTATGTGCAGGAGCTGATGAATCTACAAAGTAGTTTAAAGTGTTACTTTGCATTTTTTTCCCTTACTTTGCAAACAATGTCAGATGCATTGAAACTTGATCTAAAGTTCGGAAAGATCTAAAGTGCCAGTAGCTCTAGCTTCTGCAAACCTAAGTGTTATCCCCAGGGTGGTTATTTATGCCAAAAATGAGTAAATAGCATTATAGCTAATCTGCATCTAGCAAATATATTCCAGACTTCATATTGCCTAGGTAGAATTTATGCTTGTGCCTCTAAGAAAAGTTCACTCCATTTAGAATAAGCTAACAGGAGGCAAGATGTTCCATGGGAGGGAGTAAGGAAAGAGCCTTGAAGCCCATGGAATTGGTAGAGTGCAGTGCCCCAGGGCTAGGACTTGTCCAGAGGGGCCCAGGGAGCCCTGGGCTCCCTTGGGAGAGGATGCGTGAGGTGCACGTGACGGGGGCAGAATTGCCAAAAGCAGTAGTGACCTCTGCAGAGCCAGAAGGCGGATCAAGAGCAGCAGTTAACAACCCCATGGAAGTGTCGGGAAAAACGGGTGGATAGTGAAGCAGAGTTGATATTGGAGAGTTTTGCTTAATGTGGTTATGCTATAAAAATTAGGATTTGAAAAGATTTTAGGAGGCTGTCTATTGTCCGCTGCACAGTGTGCACTTTTTTCCCACCCCCCAGTTTCAGCAGCAGTTCTGTTGTGCAGATCTGCAGCTTGAACTATGGCTTGTTCTTTGGGAGTTCCTTTATTCCACAGCTGTCTCGCCTTCGGGGTGCTACCAGCCCTCACTGCAGACCAGGTCTTACCCTCCCTCCCACTGCACGCACAAGGAGCAAATGATGCCCTTTTCCTCCAACACAGCTCTGTTTGCAGCCCCTCGTTAAACCAGTCTGTGTTCTTGCCCCGGGCTGGCCTACGGCTCCTGCTGTGGCCATGCTTGGCTTTCCTTGTCCTCCTCCTGTGGGCTCTGTCTTCCTCTGTGGATCCAAATAGGACTTGGTATTGCAACGGAGACCTCTTTGAGAAGCAGAGGGATTGCTTCTCACGTGCACTCTCGCGTCATCTTGCTGCATGCGGCTCATGCTGTTGTTTCTTGTTGCTGCATTCGTGTTTGTACATCCTAGTCTCACAAAAAAAGTGATATTAGAAGTCTCTAGTCATTTTCTGTTTGACTGTAACCTGAAGATCATTTGCAGTAGAACTGCCTCCCCAGTCAGTTGATCTCTTATCTCTGAAGTACTTTACACTCTTTGAATAGTAGTATTGGTCTATTTTTCAGACCTTTTCTCCAAATTTTCAAGACAGCTTTGAATTTTAATTCCATCATATATTTTTGTCCTTGCCAGCTTTGTCTAATCTGCAAGTTTAATAATTAGACTTCATTCCACTTCATAAATGTTTTGGTTTTCACTTTTGAACCATAATGTGGAAAATAAGCTTGTCAGATGTAATTGGTGTAATATAATTTAAAATGCTTTATTCATTCAGAGCTTTTGCAGTGTTTAGTAAACCATGTTATCTGAATTATGATGGATTTTTTTTTTCTGTAGCAAATTTGCTTGAGGGACAGAGCTTTGACTCTGTGGATGCTCTGAACGGATCCTTTTTCAGTGCTCCGATAGCTGCTGATGGATCCCTCATTATACTGGATTCAGAAACCCTTGGCGAGAAACACCACATCAACATCCCCTCTCCTCAAATAACCTGATGTTTGAAATTGAAGATGAAAGGGTTATTTTTTGTCATCAGATCAATTGCTGTGCAACCTCTGAAGTCATAAGCATAGCGGTAAATATCCCCCTAATCCTTTATGCATTGTCCAATTTAGTGAATGCCTTAGGAATGATTATGTAGTTTTAATTAAACTTTAGAAAAATATCCTAAAAAAATCGAGAATTAAAGTAAATTGCTAAGTCATTTAATTGTGTAATAAAAAAACATAATCTCGATGGCTGCAGTAGTTGGTTCCCTCTTCATCATTGCTGTCTTACACATTTTTTTTTGTATGTGTTAGGGTGGTCTGAGAGTCCCGTTTCCTAAATCTTGCATCACTTAAGATAAATGGGAGGCAGCAGAATTGCTGTAAAAGTTCAGGTCTTCCCCTTGAGTTTACTTGTGGTAAATCATTGTTGATGATAAGCTTCATAGGCCTCTGTATATTTTGAATGCACTCTTAGGCCAACTTCTGTCTTCACATTATCATATCAAAACACATTTTGCCATTGCATGTATCTATGAAAATTCTCCTAGTTTTTCAATCTAAATATCAGAATGTGGGTATTTCTGGTGTTAACGTGCATATATATGACATAATAATGCATATATGATCTTTAGGATCTTCAACTGAAAATAAAGATTTGTACAAAATAAGCTTTGAAAATAAAGTCCAAGTGTATATGGCAACAACTGTCTACTTTCCTATTTGCTTGTGCTTCAAGGGACAATCTTTGATTTCAGTGCATATTTCTTGACTTTCCAAAAGGGGTAGCTGATTCTCCAGTGGGTTGAATTCTCGATCTGCTGTCAAATTCATATATGTATATGCTTTGGGAATTTTCATAGCTGCAAAATATATTGTAAAGTCAATATACTAAAGCTTTCAGTAAGCAATAACCAATTTTCTAGAACATAGATAATTTTTACAATTTCATTTGGGAGTCTGATTTTTACTTTTTAGTTTGGTGTATATGCTTTACCTTGTAATTATGAGTTGTGAATTTACTGTAAAATTGCATACGTAATCCAGAATTTTGCATTTGGTAATTTAACAGCTTCTTTTCATTGTTATTTCAAATATACAATTTGCTCTTTTTAAGAATGTTAATATTTAAGCTTGCATAATTGAATATGGTGGTCAGGTAACTTGCCTTCTCTGTGCCTGTTCAATGTCCCAAGCTTGTTGCTAAGCTCTGCCAGCGTTATTGATTTAAAACAAAAACAGAATTCCTTAGTTTTATATTAGCACTTGATGCAAATGAAATTACATTTGTGAAAAATGGCCAATTGAACAAGCAAAAAGTTGGAAAGGATTTCCAAATATTGAATATTTCTTATAAATATCTTCCTTTATTAAATGCATTTCCTAATCCATTGAGAGTTCAAGCAAAAGTTGGAAGAATAGCTTTTTAGAGTTATTGCAAGTTAATTTTACCTTCAGCATACAGTATTTAGATGGCAGTAATTTCTGTGCTTCAATATAACTTTTGTCAAGTAGCACATAAAACAAACGTACTGATGTCAATAAGCATTTTAATTATTCTTCATGATTTACACTTTCAAGCTCTAGTAGAATACAGTGTACCCTGAACTAAATGATCTATGCTACCAAGGAAAGCAACTTCTGTTACATCTGACTAAATGTACCAAAAAATCTATATGATTCACTTTTACACAAATCATTTGTTCTAGAGGTGAGCAAGATTAAATATTTTATTGTTTGTTGGAGTTGAAATTCATCGCTCATAGTCTAATAAGTTTTATTCTTGTAACTTGGTTGTGGTCTTTTTTTTTCTTTCATTCCTCTTTTCTTATTTTTCCTATAAGTGAATCCTGCATGACCTTCATTAGGTCAAGGAAGTATCGTATATGTTCTGTGTGAATTGCTGTAATCTCTCTTGTCAGCTGAACTTCAGATCATTTGATTATACTCAGGTACTTGCATTTAGATACATATGTGTTAATTCTACTAAGTTTGAGAAAGGATTATTTTTTGCCTTAGGAAATGCTTTGCTGAATTAGACTTGGAACAACTGCAGCTCTTCTAGTAAGGTTATCAATGTAAGACGGTGCCAGAAAATTATGTCAAAGCAGACTTTATGGTGATATGACTGTAAAAACTGTTTTCTAAATGCAATTTGTCACTTTAGAATTGGAAGTCTTTGTGAGATTTAATTTTAATTTATTATGAGCAAAGGAGTATAGATTGAAGTTTTTTTTCTCATTTTAGCTTGTTAAAATTCCCAAAGTTGATCTCCCAAATGAAGTACATAATTTTAACTTCTACTTGTCAAATGTTGGCAAAGATAATCCTCAGGGAAGCTTTGACTGCGTCCAGCAAACAGTCTCAAGGTAAGTCTTGCTTAACGTTTTCTTTCATAGAAAATTTAAGTAGATTTTGTGGCTTTGAACATATAGTGGAAAGGTTTACCAGAAGCATGTTCTTAGTGATGAGCTGCAGCAGAAAATTAATTCCTAGCAATAGCATGATTTTTTTGCTAATTATAAATACTTGCTTTTACATAGAACTTTTCTTGGCTTTACTTTTTTTAAAAAAGTAACCTTTTGAATCCCTTCGCACCTCTTGGTGCTATTTTTAAAAGTATTTGGAGTTTAGCATCATCCAAGGTAAGCCAGATCTATTCTATGACCATATGTAAATATGACTATAGCTGGCAGCATGCTAGCATGCTGGCCATGATGGATAGTTGTCTTATTTTAAGAACCACATAAATTGAGGACCTCATCCATAATCGAATGACTATCGTGTTTCAGAACCCAAATGCAATACAGCAGAGCCTTGTCCTGGTTCATTTGAATTCAAAACAAAGTGAACAGTGTTAATGTCTACCTATTAGGCAAGAGAGTACCATGCTTTCACAATGAGTTTTTCAGCTGCTGGAATATGATATTTACTCCAAACGCAGATGGAGTTAGGTGCTGTGGAACTACTGCCTAATCCACTTGATTAGTAGCAAATTTGCAGTCAGGTTTTATGTATTAATCTGGGAAATTAATAGCAAACAGCTGTCCTATGCATATCTGTGAAAGATGCGGTTGAGGTCCACAATCACAGGAGGGCTACTGCCTCATTCTTGAAATAGGGATTTGTCTGTATGGAGAATCTTGAGAACAGTAAGAGAATGAGCTGATTTAATAGCTCTCCACTGCCTAAGGCGGGGAGGTCTCTGAATACCCTTGTCATCTTGCTACTTCTTTTGTTTCAGCTCACTTCTATAGTACTGCTTTTTTGTGAACTGATTTAACTGATAGAAGTGGCTTCAAAAGCTGAATGCTTTCATGCCAGACTAGGGCATTCTTGGGCTGCTGGTGGGGATTAAACCCTGTGAAAGGGGTCAGACAGCTGCTAAGGCTGGCATAAAGTAAGGAGCCAGAGCGTGTGAGGAGAGAGAGAGATCTTGCCTCTTCTCTGGCTGGGGAAGTGCTCCCAAAAGCTTCTGCAGCAGCTGGTGCACTGAAATGCCTGCAAATGCCCTTTAGGAAACCTTTAAGTGGCCTTCATCAGAACCATTGTGCAAGGTGGCCCTTTCTTCTCAGAGAAAGGGCATAAGCTGCCATGTGTAGACAAGCCTAATGTATAGGGGTACTCAAGTCTGATTCAGGTGTTTTGTTTGACTTCTGTGTGCATACTTTCTTACTTGGGCAGTAGTTGTTTCAGTTGAACTGAATTCATTTTGTAAATGAAATTAAATTTAAGTCACTCTAATTCTCTGAAGAAAGTGCCTAGATAGTTTTAATGTGGCTTTCCTAATCGACTTCAAAATCTACTTCAGACTAGCCTTCAAGTTCCTCTGTAGTCAACCCTCTGTCCTAAGCGTTTGCAGAGATGATGCAAGACTTATGTGGTGTTATAAGCTTATAGAATCATTAACAGCCAGGAAAGACTTCTGGAGGCTATCTAGTCCAGTTGGCTGCTCAAGGCAGGTCTGCTTGCAGAATCATTTCAAGGTCTTTACCAGTCAAGTCTTTAAAATCTCCAGCCCAAGGAGGGGTGGATTATACAGCCTCTCTGGTCTTTGTCTTGCTTAGGTATGAGCTGTACTGGCCTTAGTGAGCACTGGTACTCTCATGGAGACAAATGTGCTCTGTGCATTAGGAGCAGTTGGTTTAGGAGCTAATTCATGCTGTAGACTTCCCCAGCAGGGCCCTTTTCCTCCTGCAGATTCACTTGGAGTCTGGCCACGGTGATCTTGGAAGTGATACTATGCCACATGTAGCTGAGGGATGTACAGTGCTTAAGTGCTAGTTGATTTTTAAAATGTTGAATTTGAATGAAGTGTTAAGACAGCAGTATTCAAGGAACTGGTCAAAGGGTAGAATTAGCGTTTTAGGTAAATGGATAAATAGTGTGATTTGAGGGCAAGAAATAATGCCCAATAGCCCCTATTTAGACAAATCATCCCTAAATTCTTTAAATACTCTGCAGTATAAAGGCTTGGCTTAATCCAGCATTCTGACTTTCAGAAATAGCCTGGTGAGAAACTAGGTGCCAAATCTTCCTGAACCTTTCTCTTTGGAATGTGAACCAGAGATTTTTAGGGTTGTTAAAAATGCTTCAGATGATTAGCTAAAGCTAAACCTGTTATCCTTTTTCTCATCAGAGTTATTTGGATGTTGCAATGGGAAGCGCAGCACAACAGATTTGTTGCGACTATAATACTTGAGCCAGTTTAAATCAAATCATTGTTTGACTGCTGGACTTGCGCTCTTGGCTGAGCATAGGCATGTGTTGTGTTATAACAACACATGCAAAAGGGACCCAGAGGAAATGAGGGTTTGTGTTTTCTCCCCAGAATTTCATGCCCTCACATTTCGGGGAGTTTGGTCAGCAATTCTAGTCGTGAACCACTGCTGATCTCTGCTGCTTGTATGAATGCAAGGTATTCATTGACCTTTAAGAAACTTCTCCTGAAATCTAGTGCCTATGTTGACTCTATTAAAGAGATACCCATCTGCCCTTGAATTCTTTTCAGTGGTGGGGGGAGGAATTAAGTGTCTCTTATTAAATGTAAATCCACGCAACAACAGATGGATTGACCATAAACACATTTCAGTGCTATCAAAAGTACAAAATAAGCAAAGAGAAAAGAGAACCTTTCTGGAGGAAAAAAAAAATAATAAAAATTAAGAGAAGATGTGAAAACTAAGAAGCAAAAATGTCATTTTGCAGGGTGGCTGACAACCTTCAACTTTGTAAGGACTTGAGCATTCATAAGGGAGACAGACTACCTTTTGACAAACATGTGACTGAAATCTTTACTTTCATTAAGAGTTGACCATTATTTGAAAAGCCCTTAAGGCATAATGTGTGTACAGTTAGGATACTGATCTAACTACTTCCGTTCAGACTTAATTTTTATTGCAGTAGTTATTAGTTTAGTACAGGTACTAACACTATTGCAAAGTAGCCATACATATTTATGAGAAAACTGTAGTTGTGTTCACTGGTAAAATCAGTACAATGTTCATCTAAAGAGGTTCTGAAACATTTGAAATATATTTACATGTTAGCTAGAAGTCAAGAATTGAAAGTTCTTCTCTTTGCTTGTTAAGATGGGCTCTAAAGTTTCTAATGCACCCAAACTTGAAATAGCACCTGGCCTCAACTTTTTTTTCCATTGTTCTTATAGTTCAGGAGCATCTCAACTTAGTTGCTTGGGATTTATACAGGATAAAATTACAGTATGTGCAACAAATGATTCCTATCAGATGACCCGAGAGCGCATGACCCAAGCAGAAGAAGAATCACGCAATCGAAGTGCAAAGGTTATTAAACCCGGAGGACCATTTGTAGGTATGTTTGTGTTTAATTTTTCTAATAGATGGCTGTGCTTCTTTGTTTGTGCCTTTTTTGTTGAGTAATTTTGTCAGTCTATTGTTGGGAAACAGTCAAAGATCTCAGGTTTAGGTAGCCCACCTTCACATCGTAGATCTAGTGTCCTGTTGCTCCATTCGGATATTAGCCTTTTTTCCCTAAATGTCTGGCAGTCTGTTCTTCCTTATTCCCATATTGCTTGGCCGTTGGAAAATTTCTGTCCATTGATAAGAGTTTGTAACTTCCCGTACACTTAAATTCTCTTTAAAAGCTAATGCTTTTGTAACAACTCTTCTGAATACCTAAAAACTATGTGAAACATTACCTTAACCTGTAACCTAAAAAAAAAAAAAAAAATCATTGGGAAATTCTCTCATACAACTTTGTAAGCATACTAGTTGGAGGAAAAACTTTGCTTTTTACCCATGTTAATGTCTATGCTAATTAGAATTTACTTAACAAGGCTGGTTTCTAACAACAGTTTGGTGTTTATCAATAAGCAACGTTATTTTGAGACCATTGGATTTTTTTTTAATAAAGATAAGTAATGTTGGAGTCCTTTATGAAGAGTTAGTTAGCTTGGCTTAGCTTTCTGCCAAGCTAAGTGTTCAGGTGATTCTGTTACTGAACTGTTCTATGTACTACTCCCTGGGGAGTCTCAAGTCATTGGAAATAGGCCCAAGAGGAGGACTCCGCAGGACTGAGCCTTGCAGGAGACACCGCCCTGACTTGCAGAAGGCAAGACAGTTTCTGTCCTCTCGGGCAAAACCAAAGGTGACCTGATGGAAGGCACCTTGTGCTGCCTGCCCCACAGTTGGGTGAGTCCTTTGCCATTTGTGCTGTACTCAGGACTCCTGTGTTCATTAAGCTCTGTAACACAGAGCAGGTTTTCCCTTACGGCTTTAACTATCGAGCCTCGGCCAACATGAACGTTCACGCCAGCGATGTTGCAACGCTTGCTCAATATGCCTTGTCTTACTGCGGGATGTTTTAAGCAAGCACCTTCTTGGCTTTCTGGAATACAAAACTAAATGTTTGTGGCCTTGGCCCTAATGGACAAGGCATTCGTTAATGTTAGGATGAGAAATCAGATCTTTCCCATGTGTTATTGGGACATGTCTTTAATAGCAGTTTAACATCTACCACAATTTTAAAACTTGAGATGGGGTAGTCGGTTTTCAGTCCTATTTTACATGTAAATCATTACATAATTCTCAGTGGTTGTTTAAATAGAGCTTAAGTAAATATACTGAATAGGGTTTAGACAGGGACAGTAACACTATGCAGTGTTCTGGGGCTTTGCTTTGGACTGGCATAGATGAAGCTCTGATACCAGGCAGGTCTAGTTGCTGTTAGGGCGTGTGAGGGTTAATTAAACATTGTAATACTTCTAATGCAGTGTAAATTAGGGACCAGTGTTAACTACGTGTAAGGTTTGGTTATGTTGGACGCTAACTTTTCTAAAGTGATTTAAGATGTGTCAGTGCAAGTAGTATTCAAATCCTTTCTTATCTGCTATGACAGGTGTATGTGTGTCTAAATAGAATTTAACTTGTCAAAATATTTGTAATTCATTGTTAAACAACTGACAAGTTCATGCTGTGCTAAAAATGTAACCGTGTATGTTTACATGATTAAGTTCATTCTTGAAAACCAGAAGGGCAAGGTCCAGGGAACATGCTCAATACTAATAAAGGTTATAAAGGTTTGACCTACGCTGGACAATAAAACAACTTTTTACTGTTCCTGGGAATACCAATACAAATACAGCTCCATTACTGTAGAAAATTGCTAAATTTCAAGTCTCTTTGATAGAGATACAGCTTTGGTCATTAGCTGGTCGTGTATAAAACCTATCAGTTGCTAGTTTGAAAAAATCCCTAGTTTGTATCACCTCTTCTGTTAGAGTGCAAGTAATTTTCACTGAAATCATTTTCTTTAATTCCTTGTTAAATTTGTTCTGTGCTATGGCAAGTGCCATTGGAAACAGCTAGCAATGCAGGAAAGTTGTGACTGTTTCCAGAAAATTCTAATTTAGGGTAGACGTTATTTGTTTTGGATGTGTTGTTTACAGAGCTGAGTTGCTCCTCCAGTTGAGGGACAGGGGTTTTTATAGAGTCTGAATGAAAATGCTCTGCAGACTTTGTTTTGGAACTTCCCTAAACTTGCGGTCAGGAATTGTTATACCTATCAATTCATCAAAAAAAAAATTAAGTAGTAGAGGTGAACACTTTAGTTTGCAATGTGGAGCAAACTGTAACTCCAGTGAATAATACCAAGTATTGGTAGCTTTTTTGTTTTATTTTTAAGCCGGGATGCAATTATTTTTATAGACTTAGGCTTTACAGACATTAATGGGGATCTTTTTAATTAAATAGAAGAGCTGCTCTTGATACTTTAGAGTACTCTTTTTCTCAAAGTAGCCTGATGTTTGCATTTTCAGGATCTGAGCCCCTAAACTGAGGGGAGAAAAAAAATAATTTTTTTTAAAAAAAGAGAAAAGCATCTATATGAAGATAATGAGAATGAGATATATCTTTATATATATGAAGAGTATATAAGAATATATGAAGATAGATAGAAGTACATCTTTCTACAAATATTTCTCATTTGATTATCTATATATATATAGAGAGAGAGAATACTTGCTGATTAATGCATCTTTACTACCTCAGCACGTTAATAGATCTCGATCTTAAAATGCTGAATAAATATGGTTTTTACCATTCATCTGGCTTAGTAATTTATTTAACATTACCTTCCTTGTCTTTTCCTGGCCGCTCATGTGTGTCTTCTTACTGTCCTTTTAGGAAAAAGAGTTCAGATAAGAAAAGCACCACAAAGCATTCCAGATGCTGTGCCTGAGAGGAAGCGATCGACACCCATGAACCCAGCCAATACGATACGGAAGATGCACATGAATAACATTGTTTCTCAGCGACCGTACAGGGACAGGGTGATTCACCTGCTCGCACTGAAGACCTACAAGAAACCAGAGTTGCTCGCTCGCTTGCAGAGGGATGGTGTTAACCAAAAGGACAAGAATTCCCTTGCAGCTATCCTTCAACAGGTGAGACAGCTGAGTTCTTGCCAGCTTTTTCTCCTCCTGCTGTTCTTCTGATGGTAACGTTGAGGTGTTGAGGTATGTTGCTCCTGTATTTAAACTAGAAAATGCTAAACACCTTATGAGACTCTTCTCATTTAAGTTTTTCCTGATCAGTTTTGACTTCTCTTTCCACCCCCCATTGCTTTGGACTATTTAGTGGATGGCCAAACTTTCTCTGAATTGCTTAGTTAATGCTTTATATTTCTTGTGTTGACTTTATAGAGGGAGAAGTTTGATCAAAGGGATAGGTATTTCATTTGAATGTATTAGTGGCCTGTAAGTGACATTCAAATCCTCTCTTATCTGTGTTAGAATGATAATCATATGGAGGCTAGCAGACATCGAAATCCTCCTTTGAGCACCTGCATTTACATTTTGAGTAAATATTTTGGAGGAGGGTAAATAGTCTAAGCTATACGAGGCAATGGTTTTGTGTCGAAGAGTAATCTAGCATTTTGTCTGGGATAAACAGATAGGGACTGTTTTACTCACAGGTTTTCTCTGAAACTCTGAACAGATCTGAACTATTTTAGCACTAAATTTTGCATTCAAAACATAGTTTGTTAGATATGTGAATGGAGTTACTTCTTTCATCAGTAAATCTTTGATATGGCTTAAAATTGAGTGGGATGTTGTCTTTATATCAGAAGTAGTAGCTTAGTGCTAGTTAAGTAATCACTTAGGACTTTTGCTAGGAAGATAGTTTCTTGTGGCACCTCGTGCATTGCATGAATTAAGCTACATGACTCGGTCACTTCAGAAAGGAAGCACTTATTTATTGAAACAAATGATGACAAATAAAGCTGCTGTTGCTTGTAGTACAGCAATTAGTATGATGGTGGAAAGCATATGTTATTCCAAGAATAGCTTGTATTCCAGAAACGTTTATGATAGAGTATCATGTTTACCCAGGATACCTCTATGAAACAAAAGAACAAGAAGCATCCTGCAGAAATTCAACCAAATGGATTTTGTATTTGGAAGTACGTACTCGAGCATCTCAACATAATTAGCACACTGAAAACTGAAAAATTTTGGTGTAGTTTGTCTCGAATCTTAATGCTGGGTTAAAAATGAGAAAATACAGTTATGTGGTTCAGAGCTTTTTCATGAATAGATTTCACCTAGGGTAATTTTGGTTTCAGTTAAATGTTTAGGTCCAGAATTTACCATGTTTTGAAAATCGGTGCCTATTAGATGAGAACTACTTTGATTAAAAAACAGTCCAAAATTGGAAAGGTATTGCTTCTGTCTGTTTATATTTAGCTTATATTTAGCTTATATTTAGCTTATTTAGCTTATATTTAGCTCTCCAGTATTAATTTTACTGTTGTAGCTTATGAACATAGAAATGTATTTAAGTATAATAAATATATTTTGCTTTTCAAATGTCTGCCTGTAGGTAGCCAACTTGAATCCCAAGGATAACTCTTACACTCTGAAGGATTATGTATTTAAAGAGATTCAGAAGGACTGGCCTGGATACAATGAAATAGATAAGCAGTCATTGGAGTTAATACTTGCTAGGTAAGTTCCTGTGTCAGGGGAAGGAAAGTAGCAATCTTTTAAACGTCTGCTGGAAATTGAGTGTATGTCTTCCCAAATAATGAAAAAATTATAACATAAACATTTTTGCCTTGTAACCTGAAATGTGGGTAATCCTTACAGAAAAGTAAATTCATCTAAGAATGCCACCAGCAGCAGTCATATGGAATCTCCAGTAACTTCTAATAAAGATACTGCATCAACTTCTTCCCAGGTATTTAATTTGTGGCTTTTCTAACATTACTTAGTGTATTACGATTTAGCGCACTTTAATATTGGTGTAAAAGCTGCAAGGTGAGGCAGTTGTGAGGCAGTCTTTAATATACAAAATATGGAAGCATTTATTTCTAATTGGATGGTTACTATTTAAAAATGGTTGCACTGTGGAGGACTTTAAAAGCTTATGGTCACATAGGTTAAGGACAATGTCCTTAGTGTTCTGTTTCAGAATATTGATTAAAATCTTCAGAAAAAAATGATTCCTGTATAGGCAGTGTTTTGTAAATAAATGTATAGCTTCTGAGAGTGATCAACCACACAATGTCTGAACAGCCAACACGTCCACCTAGAATATAACTATCAATAGTTAGGTTGACCTTATTGAAGCTTAAATTCATCTGTAGAAGCTTAACTTCTTAGTTACCCATTATTGTTACACCATAATTTGCATTTTGGTTAAATGCTTAAAATTGTTTTGTATTGCCAAATAACTTGTTTATCTCTGTATAGGGAGGTCTTCTAAAGAAAAGTGATACGTATTATTGCCATTATATGTGTTCCAGGTTCTTTGCTATATGTTTTAATATGTCAAATATGCACAATCATTCTTGTGCTACTTTTACACAGTTTTAAATGCAAAATTCAGAGAAGCCCAGAATAAGCAGCAAACGACAGCAGCATTCTGCTCCTTTGAGATACTGGTGTAGTATTTCTTTTTCTGTAGGTATTATTTATGATTCAGTGTAGCCTAGGTGTTAAGGCACCTGAGTCAAGCTTTTTGGATTTAAGACTTTTGTTGTCTTTTCCTATCAATAAAGCAGGGCAATACAGACTTTTTAAAAGAAGACTGAAAACCTTCATTTAGAAAGTTTAGATTCATTTAGAATCATGTGACTAAAAGTGGTTCAGTAAATGTAGTTGAAATGTGAAGGTAGTGGATGACACGAACTTGTCTGTGTGGAATGATGAACTAGTAACTACCGAAAATATCTTGCCCTTAAGGTATTTCTGTTTTTAAAAAGTGGGGAGGGAGTATCACACTCCTGCTTCTTGCTAATTTGCTGCCTGTCAGAGACAATGAAATGGTGCAAGACCCATGGACCTCTTCACATCTCCTTTCAGATAAACAGAATTTGGAATTATTTCAGCTGAGTGAGTAGTATAAAGCTGTGCCTGGCACTTGTGGGCAGAGCTACTGCTTTGTACATCAACATACGCAGCATATGCTTGTCAAACAAGCACAAACTAGCTTTTCAGATGGGGAAAAGCTAGAACCACAGCTGTAGCAAAACCTGGCTTTTTTACCTACTTTCCATCTGCTTTGCACTTTACATGTTCTGGTAACTACACAGTGTCACATGCTACTTAGAACTGTTTTAATAAATAATATTTTGTGACAGCACAGGTTTGCCCTTGCCAGATATATCTGTACAGAAATTGATACCTTAATACGGAGCTGATCTTATTTTTAGTGTAAAGGCTTTGATAGAGCATCTCAGTGGAGCATCTTTCTTTCAAAAGCCTTAGCTGTAGATCTGAAGAAGAAATTGCCAGATCAGAAGAAGCTAAAAACCATATACGAAATAAGGCATATACTTAGCTGCAATAATTTTTCTGCTGGTTATTTTGAGAGAGATGTTTTCTATAACTACCTGTTTGAAAAGGTACCTTTCGGCAGCAGAGCAAAAATAACGTTGCTTTTTTCCAGAAACGGCTTTTGTATTCTGACTTCATTGATCCGCTAATGAGTAAAAAGCCCCGGATATCTCACCTCACCAATCGGGTGCAGCCAACTTTCAACAGTCACCTGCCTCCTGCCTCCAGCGAGAAGGCTGCTGCAGCCCCACTGCCGCCACCTCCCCCTGCAGCCGCTGCCCCTCCTGCTCTTCCTCCACTTCTGTCCACTCACCTGCCCGGCTCCAACCCTCCGCAGAATGTCAACTCCAACTCCCCCAGCACTCCCGAAGGCCAGGGGACTCAAGATCTGCCTGTAGACAGCTTTGGTCACAATGGCAGCAGCATCTATGAGGACCAGCAAGAAAAATATACCTCTAGGACTCCTTTAGAAATGCCAGCATCCACTGCAGTTCAGTTAGAGTGCGCAAAGTCCACAGACGAGAAGCATTTGGCGTTGCACAAAAAATCCAAAAAGAAAGCAAAAAAGCATAAGGAGAAGGACCAAAGCAAAAAGCATGATATTGCAGGTGTGGATGAAAAGGAAAGAGATCTTAGGAAAGAGGAAACTGCCAAGCTGAAAAGCTCCTCTGGTTTGGAGTCAAGTGAAGGTATTGATGTGCTGCTTTTTCTACCTATGTGGGTAACCCTTATAACTTGATTAGTGAAACCAGGGTCTGGAAGCGGGAATTATCTAGTTCTACCTTGCTTGGAATTAAGTTGCTTACCATTATCTCTATTTATGGTGAAGAGTTAGAAAGCAATTGTTCGTCTGTCATTGTATTGCATTGTAGTTATATTTTATTTATATTTAATCTGATCCTGTTCTACTAGAAGCCTTGCTAAAATTAGACTCGCTTTTATAAACTCTTACTCCATACTACAGAGGAAGAATCAACAGAAGAACAAAGAAATACTAATGGGTTGGTATTAGTAATTGACTAAAAGGGAGGGCTAGCTACTAGAAAAACACAAGTGATGGATTTTTTTTCCCCTTTATTTCCATTAAACTGGTAGCTCATGGAAACCTACTGTTTCTTAAATCAGCAAGTTTTAAATACTGTATGCTCAAATTACATGATTCAAAGCTTATATGCTTTGTTACTGTTTATTGAAGCACATGGAATAGATGCAAACATTTCACCACGTGAATGTTCGTGTTATCCTGCTTTTAGGACGTAAACTGGCAAATGGTTTACTACAGTTTTGGCTTGGAGAGGACTATAAACTCGTCTCCCTTTTGGCTGCAAAAACTCTTTACTTTATAACTTAACTAAATGGAATCTCTTAAAAAATATCATAGGGAAAAGGTCAGTTCATTCAACCCATGTGTTGTGTTGTAGAGGCTTGGCTAACAACCTGGAACTCATCTGGGGCCTTTACCTACTCTAATCCTTGGGCTTATTTAGAGTCTCGGGTACCTCTCTGAAGTACTGCTGTGCTTGCAGATGAGAGTGCTTGGAGATGGTCTTGAAAAGTACTCATACTGAGTTTAAAAGCATGAGAAATTTTTTTCTAGAGCCTGCTAACAAAATTCTGCATGGCCAAAGCAGTGGGGAATTGATCTTATGCTTCAGGTTGGTGCTTGAACTGAAGTTCCTCAGTGTATGGAGTCATTCAAAGAAATCCTACTCAAGCTTCTGGAAATGAAATACTTGCAGCAAAACCATATTAACAAGTTCTACTGCATATATGTATAGCAAACTGTTGTACTGCTGTTTGCATTTATCTCTTAGAAATTTTGTTCTCCCTTCTGCCTTTTATACCACGTAATACATTTAATATTAAAAGCAAAAGAATCAAGTAGAACACAGCATGATAGATTCTTACTTTCCTCAACATATGAGGCTCAAATAGCTTAGGGATCAGTAAGGAAGCTTGAGCTTCAGCAGAAATACTGTTTAAACAGTGGCAGAACAGTGGTTGAAACAGAAGGGTTAGGGCATAAGTGTGCTCTGCTTTCATAATGCCAATCCAAAGTGCAAAAAACTGCATCGAATCCAGTATTGCTGGATTCATGCAGAGCAAATCTTTGTTGCATGTGATTGCAGCCCCAATGGCAGTCACTCCTATAGAGTGCTGTTCCCTGCTGGAAGAGTACCAAAATTAAATAAAATTTTGCATATCTGTAATTGCCGGGGGAGGAAAGAAGGGGGGAAGGGAAAAACGTGGCCTGGAAAGGACTTCAGCTTCCTACCCTACTTGTTGCAGCCTTCTGGTACCTGGATGTTGGGATTGATATCAAGCTATGAGAAGTTGTGCAGCTACATCTGCTGCATACCTTGAATTGCTGTGCAGATGCCACATCGGGTCTTGGAGCAAGAAATAGGGACCTTATGTTAATCGTGTTCCCTGCAGACTGCAGTAGTTGTGCCTTGCCTTTAAGCCCATATGTGAGCTGTATTACTAAATTGTAGAGCTTATTCTTAGTAAATCAATGTGTGAACAAAACTCTAAAGGATTTGTGCAGGCCCATCGGATTGGCATTGTTTGGCTATAATAAACTCAATTTCATGAATATCCTGAAACAGTTTATCGTGAATGTCAAACTTCTGCTTTTCTATAGGAGTTAAAGAAACTTGCACTGCCTCTACAGATCCTCCTTCATCCACAAGTGAACTACCAGACTACTTCATGTGAGTAATATAGTGATCAAGAATCTCTCACCACTCATTGAAGTTTCACCGTGAAACTCTAAATTTGCCAAAATATATATCTATCTAGAATAATGACAACTTCTTTTAAATCAGACAGGAGCCTTATTTGAATAAGTTTTAAATGCTGACATGGTTCTTTTGAGCAAAAAGTATTAAAATCAAGATTTTGTTATATATACTTCAGAAGAAGACTTAAGTCATTTAATCTCATCCTCCTCCTTTATAATAGCAAGATAGAAAAGGAATGTGCTTTTTAGATGTGAGTCAACACAGGACAGCTGATATGAAAATATTGAACATATGAAATTCAGGCATCTTTTCTGTGTTTTCACTAAGTGGGAGGGAAAAATAGCAAGCAAACTCTAAAGTCTAGTAGCATGAAGCATATATAATAGAGGAGGAGGAGTTAACCATCAAGCTTATTTCTAAAGCTTTGATGTAAAATGGCCACTCGAAATGCTGAGCTTGAAGGTACAGCAAAATACTCCATTTTGCTATAGAATTGCAGATTAATGAGATAAAGAAAAAAGAAACTTTAGCTCAAATTTAAAATTTTAGCTTCTTAATGATTAGAGATAAAAATGCATTAAACTTTTAAATGAAATCTGTGTCTAGTGACTGGGGTGTCACAGTCAAACTTCCAAAAATAAAACAAAAAACAAAACCCAACCACTTTCCAGTAACTTTAATTTTCAATCTGTTGCACACAAGATTATTGAACATGTCTAAAAGTTAAAATTCACCCGTTAAATAGAATTTTCAACCCTTGTTGCCATAAGACAAAGTAGTAAAGTATTATATAACTCTAATAGTAGAAATAATTAGGTGCCTAAATATTTTTAGAAGGATTATTTTCTTTTTATTGTTGTAAAACTGCACAGGGAAATAGCTTCTGCAAATACCCAGGGTGTTTTTTTTCCCCCCAGTGTTTTCTTGGTGGTCCTTTTAAAATAATGTAGAAGGCAAATGGCTGCTGTGTGATGATTTTTGGCTAGTACCTACCTGAATTTCTAGCAAAATGCTATGGGGAGGAGGGGAGGGAGGTGTCCGGAGATCTTTGCTCAGCCGGAAGGGTGAGTTTGGGAAGGCTGGGATGGCTGTTGCAGCGCTGGGAGCTGGCGGAGCCGTGCGGTGTGCTGGGCACTCGAGGCATCTAGCAGCGACGACTGGACCCTCCTTGCCACATTTGCAATGCAGAAGGGGAGACACTGCTCTCCCCGTCTGTTAAAATGCTGCTAATTGCCTTGGTCTCCAACTCCTATCAGAAGAAAAGATCAGTTTTGCTGCTTAGAATGTCAGCAGCATTGAATGAGCTGAAGCCTCCCTACAGCTCTTGGACTTGGGTGCATCTTGTGTGTGTTGCAGCAGGCAGCACAGTTATGCCCTGCGTCGTATTTAATGCAGTAAGTGATACTTTATGGAAAGACTTAAAATAAGGCTAGCCCTGCAGGGAAGGAGTTTAATGCGTAAAGGCTGAGGAATCGGACACAGATTTAAATCTGAGCCTCTGCTGGGTGAATACACTGGTTCAGCTCTTTGGCTGCTGCTTTGCAAGTTGAGAGGCATGGTAGCGACCTTTTTAAAATGCTTTGAAATCCTTTTCCTTCTTCTCAGAAGGGGTAAAGTATGCGATTATTTGATGCCATTTAATATTCAATTTAATGTGTATAGTTTATAATTTGTGCTTATATAATAATGCAATATTTCTATAGCTAATACAATAGGAAAATTTTTTTTCTGGTAAGACTTTTTAAAGTTTTTCTGTGAAAGGAGCTGGCTTTGGAATAATTTCTCAGATAAGCCAGTGGCTTTGGCACCCTAGAAAGGAATTAAAGTATGACTATTTCAAAAGTCTGCTTGATCAGTACAGAAATTTTAAGAACAATATGGTCCAGTTCAAACAATTCCAATTTTCTGCCTGCCTGTCAGTACTATATAATTCCTGAGTATAATCATGGCTTGAGAATAAAAGATTTTTTCATCTTAAGATAAAGTTTGAGAGCAAAAGAACTTAAACTTTTTAAGCAAACTTAAAGCAAAAGCTATAAATAAACTTTTTTTAACCCTTCTGCTCTCACTTCTCTCTCTGCACATCTAACATTGCAACTGCTTTGGTTTGTAGGCCAATATTCAACACTCGCTTCACTGGTGTTACCTGAAGAGTTGAATGGCACCTATAGTTTTATTTAAGAGACTGTATAACTACTAATCAGGTGCATCTGGACTAGGCTAGACATCACTGCTAGAGCTGTCATCTGTGTTTGTACAGAGTTTCAACCTGTTTGATTTTTTTTTTTTTTTTACAGAGCATTGAAATTTAATCAAAGGGTTGTTTGAAGAACTCGTCACCTTAGGAAGGTGCCTGTGTTATCCAAAGAGAGTTAGGTCTTTGGGGTAGAAGGACCTAAAGGATTAGTGTCCTGGAAGAAGATGAAACAAAACACACACACACAAAATGCCAAGATTGTATCTATTAAGAAGATTGTTTTTCCCGGATTGCAGACTTGTTTGCAATTTGCTGGTGAATTGAACTTCTGTTTACCAAAATAATATTATATATAAATATTAGTTCTGTTGAGTGCTACAAATCTAGTAAAAATCTAAACTGCATCCCAGTTCATAAACTGAGTCTCTTCCAAAAGAGCAACAAACAGTCTTTTTCAAAAGGAGATAAGACTGTTAGTCTGGTTCTGTGAGGGAACAGATTGTAATCTCAATTTCCACTCTCAGGTTGATGCATTAGTCTTTCTGAATTTGAATGATTGCCTGTATTATGTAAGTATGCTACAGTTTGCACAAGTTCTGAATAAAACCTCTAAAAAGCCAAATGCCAAGTCATTGCCATAAAAATACAGTGGATTTCTTATGAAGATTATAGTTACATAAATAGGCTCTCTTGGATCATATGCCCTTACATGTAGAGAAGTCAAGTCAGTCAATAGTTAGCTGGTTTAAAAGCAATATTGGACATCTGTTTGTTATTAACTAATTATGAAATGTTCTTGGTGTAAAAATTGAAGTTGTGCACTTATTTGTTCCATTAGAAAATACATAGCTATAGTCTCATATGAGCAACGCCAGAGTTACAAGGATGACTTCAACGCAGAGTATGATGAGTACAGGAACTTGCATGCTCGGATGGAGAAAGTCACTAGGAGATTCATGAAACTTGATGCACAGCGGAAACTTCTTTCTCCAGGATCCAAGGAATATCAGGTAATAATGAGTAACTTACCCAACCATCCAAATTTGCAGGATAGACAGATGCTTTAGCATCTATTAAATCAATCGAACTACACTGAGATGGTTTTAAAAGGCTTGTCAAGTTGAATGTAACTGGAGTTGTCGATTACCTCAGGCTCTAACGAGCAGTTAGCAACATCCTGGTGAGGTAGAGTGCTGCTATATGGATGTTGGGAGTGGAAAATAGCACATGGAATGAAACCACCCAGGCTTTCCCTAAACTCCATTCCCCTTGACTTTAACAGGTATTATACACTTAAATAGACCTAGATTCACAGATGTTTTCAGCTCATAGGCGGCTGGCCCAAATCATAGTTGAAGTTTTTAGCTAAGTATGTTAAAAGCTGTTGTTTTTGCTTTCAAGCCTAGATTCCCAGTATTTGGAATCCCAAGTGTTAAGTACCAGAGTGCTTCAATTCTGTGTATATACTGTGTATCCTTGGCAGGACCTGCATTTTATAAATTTTTTGACAGATTGCAAACATATTTGTTAGTAGAATGAATGATTTAGGATCCTAGGCACTGTACCATCTGGCAAATGAGAAAACCCTTCAAAGCTCCCCTATAATTAGTCGTGACAAGATACATATCTAATCTGCTGCTGATTGTTCATGGCTGTGCCATGGCCCTGCCAGGGCTTATTGTGACTTCTGTAGCTTGTCAAAATCCTACAAGAAGTTATTTAGTCCTTACATCAAGATGCCCTCCACTTCTGAGCTGACTGCGAATGCAGTCATTTTACAGTGGCCTTAAAGTGACTTCATAAGGGGAATCCTCAAACACACACTGCCCTTGTTGCTTATTTACAGGTTGCGATGCAGCACTTTTTATGGTAATATAGCAGGAACGGTGGATTACGAATAAGAAAATATATTTACTAAAACTGTTCTTTTCCTTCTTTTTTTAAGGTTTTGAGCAGAGCTGTATTTTTCATATTGTTTGCACTTTTTTTTTCCTTAAAGATCCTTCACGAGGAAGTCCTGGAAGAGTATCGGAAGATAAAACGGGTATGTGTAGGAACTGGGTCTGTGGGAGGAGGAAGGAACCGAATCTGGCTTGAGGCCCTTTTTAAAGCAATGAATATGGAAAAATTAAACTCTGTAGCAATATTTCCATACCCTAATTGTCTTTTTATCTTTACAGTCTAGTCCCAACTACCATGAAGAGAAGTATAGATGTGAATATCTTCATAACAAGCTGTCTCATATTAAAAGACTAATAGGTGAATTTGACCAACGGCAAGCAGAGTCGTGGCACTAGTCTCCTGCTTGGACCAGATGTGAATGAACCTAAGCTTATTTATTTAAAAATCCAAATGAGTTGCTCTAAGATTCTAAAAAGATTAAACTTTTGCATTACAAAAGTTTCAGTATTAGCAGACTTGAGTTACTACTTTTGTTGTTGATGTTGCTTATGTGCATATTTGAAGCTGCTTTTTCTGGTCCCTTCTTTTATTCAAGACTTATGTTTGTCCATGGAAATCATTTTATCAGTAGACACTGGGGATCCAGTACTTCTACTTTGAAGTTGTGCACATTTTAAGAGAATATTGTAGCAAAGTGAAATGCTTTTGGATAAATATAAGGCTGTTTTCTGACCTTTCTTGTTAATGCAAACTCTTTGCCTTAAATGGTAGAAGGTTTAGAAAAAATTTGCACAAAAAATAATAAAAAAAGAACACATTGTTTTGGAGGGTTAAAAGAGGTCTGTATATAAATACTATATACAGCCCATCTTTGTTACAACAGAAACTTACCCCTGCAACTTAAACCTCTCATTGCAATGATTGCCTTAAGGTGTTTGCTTGTGTACATTTAGTGTAGTTAAATTATTAGCTACACAGCTTCCCACTTTCCTGAAGCACCTGGGAAGCGCTCTGTGACTTACCAGTGTCTGGAAGTGTGTGCCTGTCCTGTGTGCATGCAAGGATGTGTGTGTGTGTGAGCATGCGTGGTGGGGGAAGGAGAACAAGCTGCTACTCTTCAGTAGGCCAAACACTCAGGTTAAAACAGCTGATGAGTGTTGCTGTAGGCTTTTTTTCCTATAAAATTGCTATTTCTATTGTGGAAGATGAGAGCATTTCCATTTCAATACTTTGTCAGCTTTATTAATGTTGGAAATTGATACTTTACAAAATTAAGCAGATATATAGTTTTTGGGCAAGATTATAAAATTAAGCATGTAGGTTACCTATTTATATACTGCTATAAAGTATTTTTTGAAGAGAGATATGCAAAGAAGCTATTGCCTACATGAAATGTATATTTAAAGATTTTTGTCCTGGGTGCCAGGAGTATAAGAACAGGTGTATTTAACTATAAAATACTGTGATCACCAAACAGCACAAACTTTCATTTCATGCAGTTTTTTGGCTTAATTTGATTTAAACCATTGCTTGCTTTATCATGTGGAAACACAGATTTCTTGGTCAAAATTAAGCAGAATCTTTGTTTGTCTTATTGTATTTGTCTTTTCCAAGTGCTGCCAATTGAAAAGGGAAGCATTATGTTTACAAATCTGATTTTGGAATGTTTGCCAAAATTTTGGTAGTGTCTCTAATAAACTTTGTCTCCAGCATCAAAAACCTGTTGTGTATTACTGTAAACCAGAAAAAGTTGGAAACTGCCAGAACACATGCCACAGGTAAATGGGAGCATTGGAATTTTCACCTGAAATTTGCGTGCAAAAATGTTACACTCGTGAAGGTGGACCAGTATGCAAGGCATAGCACAACACGCAGGGTGCATTACAGCTATGTGTTGTTGTTTATTTGAGACTTAAGTTGGTTTTTTTTGCTCCCTCAGATTAGTACAGTTTTTAACTTTGCACTTCAGATAGTAGAACAGGGAGGAGATTTCTTTCTTCCCCTTAACAGCCACATGCACGTGCTTCAAGTCTGAAGTCAAGCCCCAAGTGCATTCACACAGCAATGCCCAAATGAAGTGCAGGAGTGGCTGGTCTTGCTGCAGCTCTGGTTAGATTTCCATCTGAAAGGTTAGAATAACGTGGAGTTCCTGATATTGGGACCAATTTGGGCAGCCGGTGTCCTTGCCTGCACTGCTGTGCTGCAGCTACATGCACGCACTGTGTCCCTCGTAGCGCTGTCGTTGTGTCCCCGAGAGCCCGGGCACATCGCTAGTTCTCCTCATCCTCCTTGTGTGTGGTGAGGTGAGCTGCCTTGGCAGCATCTTCTGGTTTACAGGATGGCTCTCTGTTGTAGCTGGAGGCTAATACTACTTCAGAGGTCCAGCACCGTGTATCATTGTGAGACCTGACCAGCTATTGTAAAGGCCTTAATTGAGGATTTTGCCTATTTGCGTTGAGCATTTCTTAAGCCTTGCAAGTATACTTAGCAGCCTGTGTGTTGCAAACTAGCGCTGTCAATCTACATATCTCATTTCCCTTGAGCCAACATTCTTGTTCAGCAAATGTTGGGAGCCTGTAAGTGGGGCCTCTCAAACTGTATTGCCTTTCCTGTAAAACTGGTCTACTCGCTCACAGAAACAAACAACCGCAGATGGTGGCATCTTGGCTTGGGTTACACTACTCCAAATGAGAAACGCAAGATTGATATAGAGAAGGGGCAACGATGCACGTCTCCTTTATGGACACTGAATCTCACTACATTTGGGGGGGAAAAATAGAAGAGGGTCAAAGGGAGGCAATAGCCCTTTTCAGTTGGCCTAAAAAAAATTGTAGACTAGGAGGATTGGTTTCCAATTTCATTAGTTTGGGGAAAGAAAACTCGTGCTCAAAGTATTTTATTTTTTAATTGTAGGTATGCTCTCAACTGTCACTTAAAGCAGCTCCTTGGTGACTGCTTTTAAGTCTTCAGTTGACCTTGACAGGTATCATAAAAATAAAATCTTTTGGAAGTGTTTTGTAGAAACACATGAGTAAGTGTTGGAGGCAAGTTACTTGAATGGGATTTAAACAAAAGTTGGATTAAAGTATTGATATTGTAACTTTACTATTTGAAAAAAAAAAAAGCTAATGGAATGAGCAATGTTAAACCAGTCTTTCTGAATATGTAAATGTTGATTCATGCTGAGACCTATGGTTACTTTGAAGTATGATTCTTTTCATAAAAGTTTTAATATAATTTGTCTGTATACCTGAGGGGGGGAAGGGATGTGGCCAGCAATTCCATAACCTTCCTCCTTTTAGGGAAGGGTGTGAAATTGAATAAAGGAATAAATATTTGGGAATGAGAAGGCTTAAAACAGGACTGTGAATCCCATTTTCTGACTTGGAGACTATTTTAAAACCTTTTTTTTCTTTCTTTTTTTTTTCCTCCATACAAACTGTATTAATCTGTAAGTGGGGTGTTTTGTTAATGAACAGTTGAACCATTGTTGCCCCTCTCTTCTACATCAATTTAAGTTCAATAAAATGTAATTTTGCACTTCTGAGCCTTGGGGGTTTTCTTGTCTGGAGGCGGGGGAAGGGGGGACCCCTGCATCTTCCCAGGAAGCTAATCCTGTCCCTGTGGCTCCATGCTGCCTGGGCAGTGAGGTGTGAGGGAAAGCGCAGAGCGTGAGGATTGCCTCACGTGCCTCATGGTGCAAACTCCTATATAGTCTCATTGCGGCGTGCCACAACTGATCTGCAACGAGGAGCCTGCTGCTGCTGTGCATGAGTGCCGCAGTCAGTCCTAGTCCAGCTACAGTCCTAGTCCTGAAACAAGGCCACATCTTTTAACCCTGCTCCCCTGAACCGTGAGGTTGGACTGGCTGCTTCAGTTACTGAGGAGCAGCAGTGAGGAGAGGGCTGCAATTGGTTCCTCCAGGGACAACTGTCACAGCTTGGTTTTGGAAACACAGGTTTCAAGACTCTGAGATTTATCTTGTTGTTGTGATTAGATAAACTGGTTGGACATAAAATTTTGCTAGTAAGATGTTCTGATTGGTTGACTAAGTACAGCCCGTATTGTGCTCGATTTAGTTCTCTAACTGCCTCCGCTTGCTGCTTCAACAGCAATCATCACCTCCCCAACAGCGCTAACTCATAGAATCCCACTTGCACTTTCAGCATTGGGAAAAAGATAAAAACAGCATGTACAGAAATGCCAGCATATTTAGCAGTGTCTCATGTACTGACTTGAGAATCTCAGTCTTTCATAGCTAATGAGGCTGTCCTAATTCTGACGACTTCTAACTATTTTCCATGTTAACTGATTGATCAAATGTTTAAAATAATAAAATTATTGATTAGCTGCTTACTTGCTTACAGCAAGCCTTTAAGTCTTTATTCCAAAGACTAGCAAGAGCTTCCTATATCCTGCGTTCATCATCACCTTCAAATCCCTAGCTCACTTGAAAAAGCTTTTACGGAATACGTGGGTTTAAAATACCCATTTTACAAATAATAAAATACAATGGTAGTAAAACCATTCAGTAAAATTTTGGCAAACAGAAAACTTACAAAGATAGATTTCCTCTCCCAGAAATTTTTTTTTTTTTTTTCTCTCTCCAGTGAGAGGTGGCTATAAACTTGCACGGGTAACACTTTGACCAGCAGCCAGTGGTCTGTGCCAGACAACAGCTCTGTTTGGGTGAAGCCCCCTGCCTCGGGAGGCCTGTGCTCGTCCCCTTGCCGTCCTAGGCTGCTACAAAAGACCCAGACTCACCCGTGTCTGTCTTCATGCTCACACCAACCTCTAAAGCTTTTATTAAGAGAGACAGCGATTCTTCCCTGTGTGAGAATAAGAGCAGCAGTAACATTTGCTCTCCTAACAGACCTTCCTCTGCTGCCCTTGCTGCAAAGTGGGCACAAGCCACCCCCAGGAAACCCTGTGAGGACTCGGCAGCACCAACCATCTCGAAATTGCGTGTCACAGACTCGGAAATAAGGTAGCTGGTATCACCACCACTCTTTCTAAGTACCTCTGTGCTTACAAGAGACTCAATGGTAATTTGCTTGCAGCTGCACATTTTTTGTTGCAGTAAAGTCAAAATTTCACCATACTTCACCAAATTTATTGGAAAAAAAAAATGAGGAAGATGTGTAGATGGACAGTGTCAGGGATTGCAGCTGGTCTGT